GAACACAACTACATATAGAACATATAGCCAGAGTTTATACTGTAATATTAAGTCAATGAACTCATTAATGGGTCAATAATTCTAATCCAATAATATGAAATATAATATGTCGAGCTGTGTGAAGTGATGGATAAGACGCTGTGATGATGGATGAAATTAATTAAACATTAACAGAGTGAATCATCAGCTTGTTAAAGGAGAAATGTTCTTCTGATGTTGATCCGTTTCATGTTGTTATTGATCGACTCTCAGAGAGCGAGAGCGCCGTGTAAGAACCTCTGGAGTGACGCAATCGACTTCTAATTAATTAATTAGATCAGTTTCAGCTCGAGGAGTCCACACTGAATCACAATGAGAGCAGAGATACTGGAATCTGGTAGAAAAATACTGAATTCATTGTTTAATGTTTAATGTTTGTATCATGTTAATGACTCAAACCTAATGTACTGTAAAACCGGACAACTTCATTTAATTAAAAATAGTTGAAACTGAATTATTTACCAACATTGTTGATTAAGCAGAGTTTTGACACTTTTAAAAGCAAACTCAAGACTTTTTATTCTGACTTTTAATTGATTTTTATTTACTTTTTTATTTGTCTATTTATTATTATTATTATTATTATTGTTATTATTATTATTATTATTTATCTGTTTTTATATGTCCTTTTTCTATTTACATATTTTAATCTTTTTTCTTTGCATTACTCATTTATTTATTTATTTATTTATAGTTTTAGTATCTGACTGAGTTTTATTTAGTAAATCTTTCTTATTCTTCATTTAAATCTTTTTTTAATTCTGCCTTCAGTGTTTTTCCTCAACTCGTGTTTTAATTTAGTTTATTTGTATTTTTTTGTATAAAAAGTGCTAAAAATACAAATAAAGTCTGATTGATTGATTCACTTAATTTTCTAATCTTTATTTGTCCTGTGAAAACAAAATACCTTTTAAAAACACTAAATCAGGAATGTTTTTAAACTGAGTTAGTTACTTAAAATGTTCCAATTTTGCGGTTTTAGTTAAAATAATTTATATCGTATTACACATGAACAACAAACATAAACCTTCCACAAATAACACAATAAATATTTTTTAATAGAAATACAAACATATGAACATCCAAACAAACACATCTGCCTCCATTAGTGCCAACAACTGTGTATTTAAACTATAAAGAATAATAATATAGGAATTTATCATATTTATTTATTTATCATATGTTAATTATCTCTTTAACCCTTTAATGCAAAAACATCCTCAAGAATCTAAATCAGTCTGTTATTGTTCGTCTTACATCAGATTAATTTAATAAAATCCTCCATTACATCCTGTTTGTTATGTAAAACCAGAGTGAAACAATACAAGTCTGCCACCTAGAGGAGGTGAATGTAACAGTCAGCATAAAACTACATTCATCTTTTATTTCAACAGACAGGTTATTATTATTATATTATATATTTATTATTATAACTCCTTTATTTATTGTCTATTGTGTTTAGAGCAGTTTTTAACAACAATGGCGACATGTCCATAAGTTCTCTGTAACGCTGTGACTTCTGTCGTCCTTCCTCAGTTCTTCATGCTCATCCTCTTCATCTTCCTGGCGGAGCTGGCAGCCGCCATCCTGGCCTTCCTCTTCAGGGAGCACGTGAGTACAGTTTCTGGACCCGTTCCCCTCGTCAGACCTTACAGACAGTAAAATAAATAATGTAACTGTCAGTCTGCCTCAGCACAAACAGACCTGTGATATAAACATTATTGTACAGCTCTCAGTGCAGTTTCAGTGTCTGTATAACTTCATACGGTTGAATTCACAGTGAATGGCTGTTTGTCGCTCCTCCAGTGTTTGACTCTGTGTGTGAACGGTTGTGAGGGAGGCACATTAATGTTTGATGAGTGTTTTATTATTTTATTTGGGGCAGTTAATATCCTGCAGGTCAGGAACTACAGAGACAAACTGTACGTTTAATGTAATAAGTTCACTAACCGTTTAAGTTTATTAACCAAAACAATTTAAACCTATAAAATATTAACTGTAACTTAAGTATCTGTTGACTTTGGTAAATTAGTAAGTATATAATGCAGCATTTCTCCAAACGTGTTTGAAATATGTGAACAGAATTTATCTGAATAAAGTCACTTAAATACATCTTCTTTATACAAATGTTATCACTGAAGTTGAATTTACTCCACTAATAGATACATTATCACATTTCCTGTCAACAGCTGACTGATATGATAAAAAGAATTATCTAATTGTTAATGCTGTAATTAAGTTGTCAGCAACAGTTTTTTGTTTTCTATGTGACTAACATTACATTTTGAATGCGTAATTGTTTATATGATGATTTAAAAATGGAAAAATATTTAAAAATCCATGGCATTATAACACAGTGGTGCTTATGTTTAAATAATCATATAAAGACAACTTAAAGAAAGTGAGTACATGGAACAAACTGCAATTAAAATACTTAAAATACTGCACAAACGTACTTATATTTATTATGTTATTACTTCAACAGTTCAGCTTTAATTGACGGATGGAGTGACTCCACATTTATCTTCACTAACTTCTGTTATGAAGCTGTTATTTTTTTTACAGTGTGGATTCTTCGTCACACTGAGAACTGAACTGTGTTTGTGTCTGTGTTCAGTTAACCAGAGAGTATTTCAGCAGGGAGCTGAAGCGCCACTACCAAGGTCACAACAACACCGACGTCTTCACATCCACATGGAACGCCATCATGACCACGGTGAATCCTCCTCCTCCTCCTCCTCCTCCTCCTCCTCTGTTTCCAACCTTGTAATCAACGCAGTGACAACAATGTGCTGTTCCCTCTCTTCGTGTTTCTCCGTACAGTTCGACTGCTGCGGCGTGAGCGGCCCTGAGGACTTCGAGGAGAGCCTCTTCAGGCTCCTCAGCCCCAGTAAGATGGTCCCTGAGGCCTGTTGCCAGAGGAACGGTTACCCAGGAGACGTCAGCGTGGAGCAGTGCGTGAGCGGCAGCGTGGCCTTCAGGCACAACAAGGTTGTTAGACTCAAACACGTGTTAATGTCACACCTCAAAACTCCTGAAAGCTCAGCGGGGGAATTTAAAAACAATCCTGAAATACAAAAATAATCAATGCATAATGGTACGCATAGATCAGTGGTTCCCAACCTTTTTCTATCACTCAAAATGAAAATAAAGGGGTCACATTTTATGGATATTTCATTATAGTCAATAAATAACTAACAGTAGAGAACCAGCAGTTTATTCATTTTTACGCGGGTTATTTCCTGTGAATATTGCATCAAAAATTAGTTTTCCTTATATTTTTAGGTTCAATACAAATCTTTGTCTGTATCTTTCTAATTTTAACAGTTAAAAAGCTTCTTTTTGACAAATTCAGTGTTGGGAACCACTGCCACAGAATCATAACAGTAAACAGCACAACAGCACGTAAGAATACAATTTAAACCAGGAGCAATACAACAATACAACAAAAAACAAGATTAAGGTAATTAAAACCAGTAATAACTGCAGCGATCTTATTCTTCATGAGTGTTGGAGCTAAAACAGTAAATTCATCGTCATCCTTTGATTTGAGACTGTGGGAAAAAATTTGTTGTTTTTTTTATGTACCTTCTAATGTTTATTAATTTTATCTCATAAATATCATTATTTATTATTAACTGCCTCTCTGACATGAAGGCCATCTCTGTACACGTGGTTTCATAATTCAACAGAACTTTTTGTAAATAAGTTCATTTAAAAACAGTTTCCTGCTTTGCTGAATACAAACTGAAAACTAATTTATTAATTAATGACCTGAGAATAAATAATCTTTGTTTTCTTCATGCAGGGCTGTTACTCTGCGATGGTGGATTACTTTGAGACGTACATTTACACAGCCGGAGCTCTAGCCATCGTGGTGCTGACTATCGAGGTACGAACTGTGTTTGATTATTATAATGAATCATTTATTGCTTCTTTCGTACAAAGGATGTTTCTGTTTCTGTGCCGAGGTTAGAAGACTGTGTGTCACCTAACAGGTTAGTTCTTAAGATGACTAAAGAGTAGTAAAGTAGAGCTTCGTATGAGAGTCGCAACGCCTTCTTGATTTTAAGGTGTGCTACAAAGAACTTAAAAAATGTATACAGCAGGTGTAAATCTTAAGATTTCATTAAAGAAAGAAAGAAAACTAAATGAAACTGTTAATTTTAAAGTCTAGATTACACTGTAAAAAGTTTATTTAACTAAAAAAAATGTTGAAACTTCAATTTGAAGTAAAACTAACAAAATTTTGTAAGTAAAAATGTAATTCTTGATTCTTGAAGTAGCTTCAGAAATTTTATGACTTAATTTTGAATTTTTGTATTGTGAAAAAAATTAGTAATTAGTACTTAATCGAGAATGTTTTTTAACTTACAAAATTGAGTTTGTGTAACTTAAAATCTTCTATGTAAACCATTTCAACAGTTAAAATAACTAACTAAAATCACATTACAGTTTATTATCATTTAATATCTAAACTTTGATGAGCTGAACACTTATAAACGTATTAAAACAATTCAAATATCAGGGAGAAGAAAACACTGAATTGGTTAAAAAAGCACCCTGTTAAATCTTTATGATTGTTAAAAATAAAGAAAAACATAATACAGACAGAAGATTGTATAAAAGTTTCTAAAAATATCAGAATATTAACAGGAAATAATCTAAAAGAATGCCCCAAAATTCATCCAAATCGCTCGTTTTACACAAACTTCCTGCAGTTATTGTGTTCACTGTTTGGGTTCTTTGTTTAGTTTATCAGCTGTTATTGTATTTGTTGAATATAATCAGGGTCGTCAATGATTGATATCGGCTCCTGTAAGGAAAAAAGGTTGTTAATTAGCAGCGTGTGACCAAACATTACACATTACAGTCCATTCAGTCTGTTACAACTCATTGTGGCATCAACGTAACTCTTATTTTAAGACAGAAAAGTTACATAATGGGACTTTAGAATCAACCTTTAACCTGTAACATCATTTATAATATATATAAGTTTTCTTCCTTCTTCTGTCTGTGTGTCTGCAGCTCTTCGCCATGGTGTTCGCCATGTGTTTATTCAGAGGGATCCAGTAAACGCGGCGTCCACGCGCATCATCACCAGCCGGCAGGAAGGCACAAGCAGGAGCAAAACAAAACTGTAAAATATGAAATGTATTTGTACAGTGATAGTTTACGTGTCTCATTGGTTTTTCGTGACATCATTTTGTACTTCACAGCAGCAGCAGGCGTTCGAGGTACTTTGCTTTGGGCACAATAGACGCACACGGGAGGGTTTTAAACACTGAGTGCAAACTGATTTAGTCACTTCAGTCCAGGACCAGGAAGCCGGAAACACACACCACACGACTCACAGCCGGATTAAAACCTCGACTTGACGATCAGGATCCTGGAGAGTGAGCAGTTCAGGGACAATCAGCGCATATTATCTCGCAGTCAGGATTATATGAGAGATGTCTGGTTCTTTCACAGCTGCAGCTTCATGTAGTCGGTCGGCAACGGAAGTCAGAACACGTTGGGCAAGTTTTATTTTTATGGTTATAACATAAAACATGAATTAATGTATGTAATGTTAGTGCATCTGCCAACAGTGTGTCATTCGAGAAGAGTCGTTCTGTGACACAAATAAAGTGTGAAAACAAGTAAAAGTCCTGCATTCAGAATCTGAACAAACCCAGAGGAAGCTGCTGGAGCTCAGCGGTGGAAGAAGTGTTGTACAGTATTAACATCAGACAGGCTCTGGGTTGAATGTTTTATATTCATTTTATAATAATTTTAAAAACAGAAGCCCAAGAGGTCAGAATTGGGACATAATTACATTTAACCTTTGACTCTGACCATATTGAAAACTTAGCCGTGAGCAGGTACTCAGTAGAAGATGGAAGCGCCTGTTTAGTGGCTAAAAAATCGAATATAAATAAATCAGAATATTATAACTTACAATCAGAGGCCGCTGATGCACCAGGTTAGAAGTACATCAATCAGTTCAGGAGCAAACACACAATCCATGTCTCCTCTCGTTTGCTCCTGTACATCCCTTCGTGGTGCCTTCACTGACACAGCGGCTACTTAATCCTTCACGTAACGAGTGCTCGGTCTGGTGCTTACTCCCCCGAATAATAATAATCAAAATAATGAAATATAACTGATTCATGATGAAAACTTAGAGTGAAGGTACAGAATAAACAGCAGAGGTTGATGATGACGATGAATTGGATGAAATAAGAAAAATAAGATTTACGTCTTTAGTATCTAAATCTGTCAGACAAATGTAGTAAAAAATACAATATTTCCCTATTTTAGAAGTATAAAGTAGAATAAAATAGAAATACTCAAGTAAAGTACTTTAAAATGCTACTTAAGTACTTGAGTAAATAAACTTTCCACCGCTGTTACAACAAAATAAAACCTGTCAAACCTCAGCAAATCAACGTTTTATTAACATATTTAAGCTCTAAATTCATTCACATTAACACATTATGATAATGAACTCTATTAAAGTTACCTGAATGTGACTCGTAGGACGAGAACTGAACCGCTGACTGTTTTTATTTGTGGCGTGAGGCTCATTGTGAACGCCACGAATCATAAATCATTAATTAAATATAATTCAGAGCCTCTTCACAACGTTATTTAAAAGAACACGTTTGTTTACAAGAGTCTGTACAGTGTGAAGAGTATTCAGTTGGAGCACCTGTAATTAAATGCATCTTGAATGTGTGTGTGTAAATATGCCGGTGATCAGTGTGTGTTTCCCTCTTTGTGCAGTGTGATAATGTTCTTTTGTTCTTTTGTCAATAGTTATAAAAACTGAAATTTAGCAAAAAAATATTTTTTTTTGTGTTTTGAAAACTACTTGATTTGTATATATGGCACTGATTGATATTATTGATTGATTGATATTAAACTGATTTACGTGATTTTAGTGGTGTGACGTTTAATTTAGGCTTCATTTATACATGCATTAAAAAATGTTTTTTATCCTCATGTTACAGGTGAGTTTATAAAATAAATCACATGCAGAATAAAAGTTGTGGTTTTCAACCTGTTTTCTTAAAATGAAGCAAAATCTACACAAAACAAAGAGAAATTTTATCTTCTAATGCTGTATTTGGATTATTTTTGGGGGCCTGAAGACGTGAAAGTAGCTTAAAAAAAGCAATAATTAGAAAAATTCTAACTAATTTGGTGAAATATATCCGCTGTGTATATTTATTAGCTACATCCGACTAAAGCTAGTGCAGTCTGTACTGAGAGGTGTTTCTGTTTGTATAAAGAGGACTGACACCAATGCACTGTAATGTAGTAAAGTTGTGTAAATTGAAAACGTTTTTTTATTAAGTAGCTTTTACTAGTAAATTTAAGTAACTCTAACTTAGTTACAGAAAAAAAAATCCTGATTAAGAACTTTTTACTGGCTTTTTTATTTTCATAATACAAATAAAAGGTCAGTGTCACTTAAAATGACTAAACTACTTGTTTACTACTCAAGAATGTTTTTTTACTTAGAAAATGAAGTTTGTTTTACTTGAATTTACTTATCTGATTTTAATGCAATAACTGTTTAGTGTTGGATTACATCAAAACAATTTAAGTAGCAGAAACTCAATTGTGTAAGTTGAAAAATATCCTTGATTTGGAGCTTTTGTAATTTTAAATGACATTTACTTAGTCTTTGTTTGTACTGTAAAAACAAAATAAACAGTAAAAAGTAATTAATCAGGATTTGAGACAAATTTGAGTTTTTGTGACTTAAAATGTTCGATGTAATCTGTTTAAACTATTTCTTTGAGTTCAAATAACTATGGACTAAGGACGTATTTTACTTTGGTTGCAGTTTCTCTCATTGTTCTCGGTAAATAATGAACCAATATCAAAGCTGCTAACACACAAACACACTGAAACATACAAGTTAATCATATCCGTCTTTCTATGGTTGCATTTTGTTCTTTTATTCTGAAAGTTCTGGCTAGAGGCTGACCTTTCCTGTGCCTGCCTGTCATTGGATAACTGGAAATGATTCAGCCATCTTGGTGGTGTATTTAAGGGGTTATTTCTGTAAAGTCATTCTGTAAAACACCCTGATGACTCCTCAAATACTGCACACGTCTCAGATGGGATCATATAACAGGAGTCTTGTGATGGTAACCACAGATTCCTGCTTGTAAACTGATATAAGTGTGAAAACAGAAGTGATAGCAGGCAGCAGTCTCTGCTGAACGTTGTGCTGCAGGTTCTTTATATTGTTCATAATAATAATAATAATAATAATATATGTGAGTATTTGAAGCTGTGGAGTTAATCAGTCACCAAATGTGGAGAACACCTCTGGAACAGACTTTGTACTTTGGACTCGTTCTGTCACATTTGGTTGGCGAAGGTAAGTTTGATACCTGAATCAGGTTTAACACGGAGAAAGTGTTTTTTATTATTTAAATATGTTCTTATTTATTAGATTTCACACACTGCTGGTATTGAAGGTCTGATCTGAAGAATGAAGGGAGATTTTTCTTGGTGGTTTTCTGCACAGTCAGGGTTCAACTTCCTGTTTCACCATTTTGTTATTTTATTAAAACAACCACAAACCAAAAATAACATTCGGGTAGAAAAGACGGAAAAAACGTATCCTCCAGGAAACAATTCTTCAGAAATATATCCATTTATAGTCTATTGGCACACTGAACGCCTTCCTAGAGGTAGTACGTTTTAAGATTGATTCTCTGGAGGAAGCCGCTGGTTTCAATATTAACTTCAGCACAGACTGAAAATCAGAGACTTTAAAGCTCGTTTGAGAAAATTCTTCCATCACAGAGAAGATTGTGTCTCCTGTTTCCTCTCATCAGAGATACAAACAGGGACAGTCTGTGTGGTGCATTTAATGACCGTCAAATGAAAAGCAGTAAATGAGTACTAAATAAAAATAATACTATCGAAAATAAAATCCAACAGAGGTAAAACACATTTACTTAGAGTCCAGGTAAAATCCAAAAATGTAATTTAGGTTCTTTAAGATCAGTTATATTGTTTCACTATTTAACAATGTACGACAAAAACATTCACAAAACCTTGTATTTAACATCAGAATCCAATCATTGTGTCTTCCTGTAAAACAAAATGTGACACGTGCTTACGTCAGCATGAACTAACTGATTTCAACCAATAATATCCTGACATTCACCCGGGCAAAAAACAAACAAACACAGTCTACAAACACAGTATCTGCACCACTTATACAGTCAATGATCTGCACATTTTGTAAAAAGGTTTAAGTTTTGGAGTGGAAGTGAAGAAGTGTGGCTGAAAATCTTGATTCATATTTTATACCTTTAAATATGCATATGTTAAAGTTAAATTAAAGATAAATTAACTTGATTTTAATTGAATAAGTTATTTTAACACATTTTTTTTTAAACGGATTACATCAAAAGTTTAAGTAACACAAACTCAAAAGTTTAAAAAACATTCTTGATGAAGCAGCTTTTTATTTGGTAATTTTGAGTGACATTAACTTGTAAGTTAAAGAAACATTCCTCATTAAGTTCCTTTTTACTTTTGTTTTCACAACACAAATAAAAAGTACAAAATTAAGTCAGTGTCACTTAAATTTACTAAACTACTTGATCAAGATTGTTTTTTTAACTAAACAATTAAGTCACTTAAAATCTTTCGATATAATCAGTTTCAACAGTTTTTTTTGTTAAATTACTTATCTGGTTTTAAGTGTATTAAACATATAAATACAATGTGTATTAATAAATCAATATAATATAATAATATTAATAAATCAATATCATATAATTATATTAATCAATTCAATATATATAATCAATCAATATATATTAAAAACAATCGTAATGTTTCTTTTTGTTCTGCTTTGAAATCAGTAAAAGGTCACTTTTAATGATATCTTGTGTACAGAAATACCACACACACACACACACAACACACACACACATATATCCAACACACCAGAGACCATCACAGGTTTTATTTAGAGCTCTTGTTACAGGACGAGTGGATTTACAGTTATTTGTTTTAAAGCTAACTGAAGCGTGTGTTCACTGAATAAAGACTGAATATGTTTATTGATTGTTTATTGATTGATCGTTTCCTACATGCAAACAAATAATTCCAAAGAGTGGAGAAGAATGAGAGTCCAGGTGGGATCTGTAAAAGACAAAGACACCACATTAATCATCTATTTTATCTTTTATTAATTAGAATCAAATGTTGAGATATTCGGCCTACTCTATATGTTTTTAACATTTTCAAGCACGCCTTAAATCAAGAAGGCCTTGCGACCCCATATGAAGCTGTGGCGACCCCTAGTGGAGGCCGAGCCCTAAGGTTGGGAACCCCACTGATACAGAGACTGAAGCCTTTATTTGTGGTAAAAACATACCCGACTGTTTCCATCCGCTGTTCGGTGCCTGAGGTGACAGAATCTAAAGAAACAAACACATCCAAGTTACCTCTCAGTGTCTCACTCACCTGTCTCACCCACGCTGTCTCACCCACCTGTCTCACTCACCTGTCTCACTCACCCTGTCTCACTAACCTGTCTCACTCACCTGTCTCACTCACCCTGTTTCTCCACTCACCTTCTCACTCACTCTGTCTCACTCACCCTGTCCTCACTCACCTGTCTCACTCACCCTGTCTCACTCACCTGTCTCACCCACCCTGTCCTCACTCACCTGACATCCTGGCCAGCTCGACGCTGGAGTCGGAGACTCGTGCCGTTTGCTCACAAGAACAAACTGTGAGCCCCGTAGTCGTCCATCTTGACGTGCTGGGATGGTCAGGGTGATGGCGCCGGGCTGTAGCGATGGCGTAGCCCTCGCTGCAGTTCCTGGAAAGCTTTATGTTTAATGTAGTGACACAGCAGCTCGTTGTTCGGGCTCCTCCCACTGGACGGACAGCTGGGACACATGTGCGTCGTCCTCATAGTGGTACGAACACGGCAAAGAGACCCGCTGACCAGGCTGACAGAGAACTTTCACAACACTGCCTGGAGACAGAAGCGCTCGCCGTTTAGAGACCGCTTAGAGACCGTTAGATACCGTTAGAAACAGTTAGAGACTGTTAGAGACCAATGGAGACTGTTAAAGACCTAAGAGACTGTTAGAAACCGTAGAGACGCTAGAGACTGTTAGAGACAGTTAGAGACTGTTAGAGACCAATGGAGACTGTTAAAGACCGTAAGAGACTGTTAGAGACGCTAGGAGACCGTTAGAATACCGTTAGAAACAGTTAGAGACTGTTAGAGACCAATGGAGACTGTTAAAGACCGTAAGAGACTGTTTAGAGACCGTTAGAGACCGTTAGGAGACCGATGGAGACTGTTAGAGACAGAGACAGTTAGAGACGTTAGACCGTTAGAGACAGTTAGAGACCGTTAGAGAGTTTTACTGCTGAATCAAAAATCAGAGAACTGTTTGCTTCCACGTGGAAGGATAAACCGTATCTGATGCTGACGGAGGACAGACACAGAGCAGCCGGAGGACGTCAGAGGGGAAAACCAGACAATATTTCTCCATAAAAATATGATCCAGTTTCACCCTGAATCACTGATAAAGTTGTGTTTGTACAGTAATCAGTGAGCTTCCGCTAGCTAGCCATGCTTTAGCTAGCTAGCTAACTAATGAATCTTCGCCTGTGGTCTAAAGATGAAGGTTGATTGACGGTGAAT